ATGTGTATGAAATAGGAGATTTTTGTACATTGAATGTTATAGTACTATAAATTTCCTCGTTTACTTTCCTTTCTTTTTTTTTACATTTTAGATTGTTGTCGGGTTCCATCATCGACTGACAGCTAGATGAGAGAGTGAAAATGAAAGTAGGTTTCAAACATGTGTCGTTACATATGATTTCAATTGTGGCCAATTCGCTCGAAAGGCCTCTATAAAACGAGCGAAAAAAGCAAATAAAACAAGACGAAATCATGAATGAAACTAGCAATATGAACAGTGGTAATACCGGTGGCGTATGTTCATCGTGTCTTAAAGAAATGCCTATTGTTATGGCATCATCATCAAATAATCCCTTATCTAAACTTTGCTCGAATTGTATGACAGAATTTGTTGATCAACAACGTTTTTCTTCTGATATGAACAATAAATTTCCACTTTTACCTCCAACACAATCATTATTAAATAATCAAACGCAACAACAGCAACAACAACAACAAGTTCAATCAATATTTCAACCACATTTTTCATCATTACCTTCTTCATCAGCATCATCAACTTCATCATCTGTATCATCAACTCGTCGTTTAAGTGCATTTGATCCATTTATATCCGGTAATATTTCTCAAAATCCAATACATCATCCATTAACGGATCTAAATACTACATATTCACCATTAATATCAACAAATTTTAAAACTGATTTTGATTTGACAACAACAACGACAACAACATCAAATGATTTTATGCGTTTTTTTCCTAATTTTCTTAATGGAAATAATCATAATAGTGATCGTGATAGTCCAACAAGTAGTATTCCAAGTCATGATTTATCTCAAACATTATTTTCTCGTCAACAACCAACAATATCTTCATCAACATTAAATCGTTTATCAACAAATGATCGTCCATCATCATTTTGTTGTTTTGCTAATAATCCTCCATATACATATTGTCTTGATTGTGAAATAACATTATGTGAAAAATGTGCATTAACACATCCAAAAATTCTTAGCTTTAAAGATCATCGACAACAATTATTAACTTCACAATTTAATAATAATCGATCAATTATTGGACAACAATCATTATTATCAAATACTGGTAAGTTTTGTTTTGTTTTGTTTTTTGATTATTATTAATTAATAAATCCTTATTGTTTTCTGTTTTATTTTAGTTCGTTTACCACCACCACCACAACAACAACAACCTTCATTAGATTTTTCTTTAAATCGTTCAGCATTATTAAATAATTCTTCAAATGATTTTTCATCATTATTTAGTTCAGTTTTTTCTCAACTTTCATTAAATAATACAAATAATGAAAATTTAATAATGAATAATTCTTTATTATCATCATCAACAACAATTTTTTGTCATGAACATTCAAATTTAAAAGCATCATATTATTGTGATATATGTTCACATGCATATTGTCATGAATGTCAAATACATCATGCACAACAACATACATTATCATCATTACAAGATACAATTGATAATGCAAGACAATTAACAAAACAATTTTTAATTGAATCACAAACATTATTATATCATTTAGATGAATCATTAAAACAATCAACACGTACAATTGAAAATATATCAATAAAAAGTTCAACTATTGAAAATGAAATACGTACAATGATTAAATATTTTCTTGATATACTTTCACAACGACAAGATTTTCTATTAAAAAATATTGATAAAATACAAACAATTAAAACACAAACATTACAAAAACAAATTAATGAAATTAATCAAGTTATTAAACAATTACATTTAACTATACTTGGTAAGTTAGAGAAAAACAAAAACATAAAACGAATAAAAATTAGAGATTGTTTATCTACGACGATGACATCAGCAGCATAGTAGTTTCTTTTCTAGGAAGATTACATCATCGGTTTACATCCGATTTAAGCATCTAAAAATCTAACAATCAAAATTTATATAGTTTGTCACGTCGCAGCAGTAGTGCTACATCTCTGATCTATACGAAACACATGATATTAATGTTTTCTTTTTGTTTTTATTTTTTTCGTATCTATTAGATTGTAATGAATGTTTAAAAAATGGTAATGATGCTGATCTTATTCGTACACGTAATCGTTTATGGAATGAAATAATTAAAATGAAACAAACATTATTATTATATTTAAAACCACTTGAAGATGATTATATACAATTTCAAGGTTCAACAACAACAACATTAAATAAATCATTAATAAATTATGGTCAATTAATAACATCAACATATCCATCATTATGTGAATTATATGGTGATTCACTTTATAATACAATAAGAAATCGTTTAAATGTATTAAATTTACAAACACGTAATCATTTAGGTGAATTACGTACAACAGGTGGTGATAATATTCAATGTTGTTTAATTGATACAGGTAATAATCAAACAGTACCATGTGAAATATATGATAGACAAAATGGACAATATTTTATAACATATATAGCACAAAGTGATAATTTACATATATTAAATGTTTATGTAAATAATTCACCAATAAAAGATAATCCATTTCGTATTGAAATAAAACAAAATCGTAATTATACAACAATTGGTTTAAAATTAGAATTTGAAATAGGTAGTGAAGGTGATGATGATGGTAAATTATGTCGACCATGGGGTGTTTGTTGTGATAATCAATCAAATATAATTGTTGCTGATCGATCAAATAATCGTATACAAATTTTTAGTAAATATGGACAATTTCTTAGAAAATTTGGTATACAAGGAAATCGTCCGGGACAATTTGATCGACCAGCTGGTGTTGCATTTGATAAACAATTAAATCGTATTATTGTTACAGATAAAGATAATCATCGTGTACAAGTTTTTACATCTATTGGAGAATATATATTTAAATTTGGTGAAAAAGGTACTAAACCCGGTCAATTTAATTATCCATGGGATGTAGCTATATCATCAACATCACAAATTTTAATATCAGATACACGTAATCATCGTATACAATTGTTTTCTAAAGATGGTTTATTTTTACGTAAATATGGTTTTGATGGTCCTGTATGGAAACAATTTGATTCACCACGTGGTGTTGTATTTACACATGCTGGTCATATAATTGTATCAGATTTTAATAATCATCGTTTATTATTTTTATCATCAGATTTTCAAAATGCACGTTTTCTTGGTAGTGAAGGTTCATCTAATGGACAATTCCTTCGTCCACAAGGTGTTGATATTGATGCTGAAGGAAATATATTAGTTGCTGATTCAAGAAATTATCGTGTACAAATTTTTTCACCACAAGGTGTTTTTAAAACAAAATTTGGTACACAAGGTTCAGGTCCTTTACAAATGGATAGACCAAGTGGATTATGTATTACACCTGATGGTCTTGTTCTTGTTGTTGATTTCGGTAATAATCGTATTCTTGCCTTTTAATTATGTATACGATTTCCATTCTCACGGCTTTCACTCAGGTATCTATCTATGTTTTAATATATATACTTATATATATTCACAACACTTCAACCCGGTAGTTTAATGCACAAAGAACAGTCTCTTTTCTCTCTATCTTTCTTTTTCTTTCTCTCTCTCTCTCCAAAATTTCGAAAAACTAAAAACGAGTTATCTTTTTCGTTTTGAACTCATTCTATGAGTGAGACATAATTAAAACAGTAGCAGGAATAATACAGTGTATTTATATGTGTGTATATATTCAATCCTTCTTTTTTTCGTTGTTGTTTATAATCGTTGTTTTCTGTCAAGTTTCTTCTTCTTCTTCTTCTTTTCCTACTATCTTTCATTTATATATTATTAAATTTTTTTTCTCCCTATTTTTGAGCACAGTGTGCTACTATAAACAAAAAAAGAATTTCTTTTTTTTTTTGTTTTCTATAGCTTCAAGTTGCTAAAACTATCAACCGAATCACATATATACAAAAAAAAAAAAAAAAAACTTCATATTTATTATATTCACTCAGGATTGTTTCTCTCAGGTTGAACAGTACTGACTTTCTTTTTCTTTTGTTTTAACAAAATAAAAATAAAAATAAAAAAAACAAATGCCTCAGGATTTTTTTGCTCTGCTACACTATTGGCTACTGTTGATAAATCAATTTAAAAAACTATCGTCTAATAATAACAAAATAAAAACGAACAGAGTTCATTAATGTTTCTTTTATTTCTTTTTTTAAAATATAAAAAATAGCAGTATGCAGATAAATCATAACCACTCAGGTTTTTAACCAAATATTTAATACTAAAAAATAAATATTAAAACGAAATTACACCAAGTGTTCTGTTTGGCTAAAAAATGCTACTACTATTAATTCATTTTAATTTTGCTTCAGCATTTGTCTCATTCTAAGCTTCTATTTCGTCTTTTTTTTTCTTCGCCTATCTATATGTGTGTGTGTGTGTGTATTGTTGCCTTTTTCTTTTCTTTTTTTTTCGTTTTTTTTTTGTAAAATAATCTTTTTTCTTTTGTTTTTTTGAAATTCGAGTGCAAATCATTAAAAATAAAAGTCGATTTATATTTATTTGTTTAGTAGTTTTACCTTCAATTCAGGGTCGATATCGAAAACTGATTCTCTCGTCAAGGTTATATTATTTTGAGTACTGTTTATGTCTACATGAAATACATTGGCTGTCTTTTCCGGATGAAAACAAAGTTTGACATTGAGAAAGGAGAAAGAAAACGAGAGAGAAAGCATTGTTTATCGTGCTTGCTTGTTCTTCGTTTTTCTTTTTCTTTTTCTTTTTTATATGACGATAGAAATAGACATTCGACCTTGTCTGTCTTCCTGTCTGGGTAGTTATTATAATAGATTATGAAATAAATGAGAAAGAAAGAACGAAGAAAAAAAATCTCTTTAGGGAAAATGTTTCTTGCATCTATTCAATGAACAAATTATCTAATTTTTAATCAAGGTCATTGATAATAAGAAACAAAAAAAAAAAAAAGAAAATGTTATGTATTATCATAAATTATTCTTTTTTAGTTTCTTTAAAAGTAAATTTAAGTAGTACATGATTTTAATTGAATTGTATGATTGGGACAATAACAAGCATATGGTAGTTGAGTACTTGGATTTGAAAAACAATAACCTGGTGAACAATTGATAGTACAAGTAGCTATGAAAAAAAAAAATAAAAGCAAATAAATAAACGAATAATTTTTGCTTTTTTTTTTTTTTTTGAAATATTTTACCTGGTCGAATATTTGTTTCACATGTTGATCCTGTATAACCTGGAGGACATGAACAAGTAAAAACATTACCAACACGATTACACTTGCCAGAATTCAAACATGGATTGCTATCACATGGAGCTAAAAATAAAAATAAAACAGCTTATTAGTGCAGTCCTTCTAGAACTGAAATATGAAACTTACATGTGTTCTTGAACCCTTATTATACTAATACAAAATATGTAACGTAAAAGATCTCTAATAGACTATAGTTATTTTCTAAGAGAAACGATTTCTACATTTCGAATAGATAATTTTTTTCTATTTTGTATTTGTCTTATTGTTATTCGCTTGGTATTTTTTGTTTTTCTTAATTTAATATTAATATTATTCTAATCAGTAATTTATCTGATAAATAAGCCTGTCACAGTGTATTAGATGGAAAGAATGAATGTCGACATTTTATCAATCGAAATAGTGATAAATATACTTCAAGACATGCTCTATCTGATCGCATTAAAATTGTTGTTACGAATAGAAAAACCGCTATTCAAAAATTAGCTTGAAATTACTAGTATTGGTAAGAAAATTATTTTTCTTTTTTACAAATTTGAACAAACGGGTAGGCATCCCAGTAAATATTCTGAATCTGCACGTCGTCTGGTATCTATTATCAAAGAAATCTTTTAGTTCACACATGTGACTTTTAAAAAGAAAATAAAAGTTTTTCTATACTGATTATTCAAATAGCTATGTTTAGTAAAATGAGCGCGTCATCCTCAGCCATGATCCAAATCCTCTCGAACTCTATCAGAATGTTCTTCTCTCTGTTCTGTATTATTCCTGTTAACACAAACATTCCTGAACCGTACAGTAGGCTTTCCAAAAACCTTGGTTTTCCAGGTATTTTACAATTTTTTCGGTTCAAAAAGGTTTTTATTGAACAAAAATATCATATTCGGAATCAGCACGTGAAATTGCATTTGATGATGTATGAGACAAAATATTTTCTAACAAAAAAATTTTCTCGAAAAAACTTTGAACAAGAGTCTCCCTGAGGTTTTTTCGTCAAAAAATACTTTCCTTTCTTAAAGAAAACTTCCTGAGTAATATACAATCACTTCTGAGCAACAAAAATCCGTTTCCAAATACGAAAATCATATCTTCATCTGTCATGCAAAAAATGCAAACTATGCCTGTTGTACATGTCCATTATATCTACACCGAGTCTCAATGTTCTAGATCCATCTAAATCTTGCCGTTGACACCATTCAGCTCCTTTTTCTATTACTAAGGAGCTCTGTGAAAAAGTCTCACACATCTTATCTTCAATGGCTATGATCTGTAATGTGGAGGGGAACAGGTGCAAACCTTATACTCATTATTATCTTATATGACTTTCACAAAAGAAGAATAGAAATAAAAAGGACTCGATTTATAATTGATTCTAATTATATAATTAATTTCTTATTTAATTTGTAGAAAAAAAAAGAAAAATTATTTCATAATCTCTTATTAACTTACATTGAACTGTTGATACACGTTCACATTGTTGTCCATTGTATGGAAAAGGACATTTACAATTATATGTAAATGGTCCATCAACGCAGGTACCCCCATTGCGACAAGGTTGTGAAGTACATCGAGACGTTGCTAATCAGAATTATTTTTATAGTATGATCTTAAATTCTATTTAGAAACTTACTACTTATTACATTTTGACATCGATCTCCCGTAAATCCTGATTGACAAATACATATCCAAGCAGCTCCACCTGATATTGCCATACATGTACCTCCATTAGCACATGCTATAGAACTGCATGATGCTTTTACAAGCAAAAAACAAAATAGAAACAATTGAATTTTAATTCAAAAAAAAAATAAACATACACAATGCTGTTTCACAAAATGATCCCGTAAAACCATTAGGACAAATACATATCGAACTAGCTCCACCTGGCATTGTCATACATGTACCTCCATTATTACATATTATAGAACTGCATGATGCTTTTATAAGCAAAAAACAAAATAGAAACAACTGAATTTTAATTCAAAAACAATAAACATACATAATGCTGTTTCACAAAATGATCCCGTAAAACCATTAGGACAAATACATTGAAATGAATTTCCAACGAAAGTACATCTTTATAAGTCAAAATAAATAATTTGATGATAATGTAGGATAGATCGAAAATTTCTCTGATTAATTTTTGCGTATTTAAATGTATTGATAGTATATTGTATGCATTTCGAAAATATATACTTAGAATTTTTCTGTAACTTGTGACTATGGAGCTACATTGAAAAAGATGAAAATAATTGTTTTTTTTTTCGTGCAATAGATTGTATAAAAGATTCACAGAAAAATTCTAAGTATATATTTTCGAAGTGCACAAAATATATTATCAATGCATTTAAATATACGAAATTTTGTCCCTTTCCTTTAACATTTTTTTTTTCTTATAAAACTTACTGGCCACCATTTAAACACATTGACATACAATTACTTGTTGCTTAATAAAATGAAGAAAAATTTAATTTCAAAAAAACAAAAATAAATAAATGAAAATTTCATTTTACGATTAGTAGCCGTTTCACAACTTAATCCCGTGTATCCCGGCATACATTGACAAGTAAACGCATTTATTCCAACTGGTACACATCTGTAAAAGACAAAACATAAATATATTATCTTAAATTATTTTCTCTTTACTTACGTTCCACCATTTCTACATCTATCCATAGTAATACTACACACGGTATTAATTTCATCTATAAAATAAATTTATTTCCAGAAAAATAATATTATTTTTCTAACTTTGTGTAGTTTGTTGACAAGTTGTTCCTGTATAAGGTGGTACACATATACAAAAGAGCGCATTATTAAGCATCATACAACTAAATAAATCAAAAATAATAAAACGAAAAAAAAAAAGAAAATCACTCTAGTATTTCTTCTTGCCTTCCGCCATTTCTACAGTAGTTTGGATTAGCAGTACATGTATTGACTTTTAAAAAACAAAAATATTTCAATAGAATAACAAGTTTGTCTTTCAAAAAAACAAAAAGGTACCATTTATTGTAGAGGTTTCACATCTACTTCCTGTATATGGTTCTGGACAAATACAAACAAATCCCGATTGACTCGAATAACAACTAAATATAATTCATCTAAATTAATATTTTGATTATTTATTTCAGATCACTCACCTTCCCCCATTCAAGCAGGGATTAATTCCAAAACAGGCATCTACAATATTGAAAAAAAAAAACCATTCACTAAGACATATCGATGTTAGCATTCAATCTCAGATCCTTCTAGGCCGATCTAGGATGCGTTCGATCTAGACTTCGACATTGAACAAGATCATTCTCGAATTAATCTGTTATAAAACGTTCAATCTAACTACTAACGACTGCAAATTGTATCTTTGATCTAAATATAGAGTTTATGGTTAGAAAAAGTGTACTTGGATGTATGTGAATAGTACAAATGTAGACGTTTATAATACAAATAAAAGTTTAATATGAAGATACAAAGTGTTGATATGAACACTATTGAACTGGTCTGAAACATTATCAAACAGAAAATTAAACAACAAAAATTCAAAGTCACAATGTGAACTAGACAATGCGATCAATGAAGTTTGCAATGCTCTATCATTAAATGTTATTCAAGCATATATTAAAAAGACTCAGGCAATATATCAACACTTTAAACCTTTTTTTGTATTATAAACGTCTACATTTATACTGTTCATATATATCCAAGAAAAATTTCGTCTGACCGTAAACTCTATATTGTAGAACAAAAATACGATTCGAAGTTGTTTTGTCGTTGGTAATAAGATTCATTTGAAAATTATAGGTCAATCTCGAATCAGAGTCTAAGTATATTGAATTCTATGTAGAGGTGTTGATTTATTCCAAAGACTATATTGAATAAAAACTGAGACAGAAAAATGTGGATGAAATTGAATCTCTGTTTATGCTAAAATAAACTTGAAAAAAGTAAAAAAAAAAACTTAATTTATATCTCAATTGTGAGTGTAAATCTTTTAGTTCACCTTTGGCTTAGACCAATCTGAAATTCGCCTATAATTTTTAGATGAATCTGAGATTGGATCTTAACATCGACTATAAAGATTTAATTTACTTGTAGTATTTTTTTCACATAATTGTCCTTCAGTTCCCGGTCGACAAATACATCGAAGATGAGTCGCATTCGAAACACATCTTTAAAAAAGTAAAAAAGAAAAAAAAACAAAACAAAGATAACAAAAGAAACACATTTTTTTAAAAATTATCAATATATACGTGCTTCCTTGTTGACATACGCCTGGATTTAAATTACAAAGTGTATTTGATGAAGCTAAATAAACAAAAAGTAAAGAACAAAGATTTCATCATCATTAAATTTATACTTATTTGTTCTTCACATCTTGCTCCCGTGTAACTCGTTGGACATCTACAGTAAAATGTATTTCCACTGGGAACACATCTATGATATAAGAAATAAAATTAAAACAATAGAAATTTATTAATAAACTAACATTCCACTATTCAAACATGGAGTACCATGACACGGAGTAGCTAAATAATATTCGTTTTTTAAAAGTCAATAATATCTATTTATTATCATACAATCATCCTTAAATTGACATTGATTACCATTAAAATGGTCTTTACAAGTACATAGAAAAGAAGCTCCAGCTGGTGTACAACTACCATCATTATAACAAGGAAAACTTGCACAGGCATTTGCTTGACCTTTAATAGAAATAGAATAAAATACGGATATCAAGTTTTTTTTAAAATTATTTACCTATTGGAATTTCACAATGTTCACCAGAAAATGTTCCTGGACAAGCACATCTTAATCGACTAAGTGTATAATCAAATGTACATTGTCCGTTATTTTTGCAGTAATCCGTAGGACAAACAGTAACAGCTGTAGCTAAATGAAATTTTCTTTGTTTTCGTTAAGAAAATAATTGAATTTCTGCTTTTTTTTCTTAATAACATACTACATGTAGATCCAGTATATTCTGGTGGACATTGACAATAATAATTTGAACTACCAGTGAGTGACAAACATGTTCCTCCATTTTTACAAGGCATCGATGAACAAATAGCTAAAGCAAAAATAATATTAAAATAATAATTATTCTATATAATAATTATAATTACATGATGGTAAACTATATTGTTCACAATGAACTCCTGTATATGACGGTGGACATCGACATGAATAAGCACCATTATCACCAGGTATGCATGTACCAGCATTTTGACAGATGGTTGATTGATAAAAACATCGATTAATGACTAACAAAAATAAATAAATAAATAAATAATCGACTTCTTAGGATATACCAAAAGTAGTAGCACCGATGCTATAAAATCTTATAGAAGACCCAAGGAAATGTTTTCTCTACATGTGCTGATAGTCCAAAATCGAACTCTATAATTCTTACAATATTTCATCATTCTTCAGATGATATTATAATAGCAAAGTTTCAATGTGTTAAACTTTGGTGTTGATTTTTTTAACTTTTCCTCTTGAGAATACACGATAATTAACTATACATATGCAAAAAAACAAACAAGACACATGTCTTTACACGTATGAAGACGGCTGGTTATCAGACGAGATAAACAAGAAAAGTCCAAAGAGAAATTAAAAGATATATGTGTAATTAGAGAACCCTTGCAAGTGATAAATCGTTTACGAGTCCAAACTCTATCCATAGGGTCAGGGGTGGCCCGACCGGGGGGGTGTCGGGGGTGGAACACCCCCCCAATCTTAGAAAAATTCTATTTTTTGCTCAGCAAAATCAAAAAATTTTCTTTCATTTGTCATGAAAAATAATGTTACACCCCCCCAAAATTAAAAAATTCCACCTTTTACTGCAAAAAATTTCGCGACACCCCCCCATTGTTGGTTGACTCGGGCCATCCCTGCATAGGGTAAACCTTAGTGAGATATGAAAAGTCCTAAAAGGATAAATACTATTAGAATTTCCCTTCTAAGTTATAGCCGTTTCGTTGGACTTTGACGCTGTGATACAATATACATCAGTAAATCGATTGATAGTATTTCAACCTGAGATCTAACCTACACATAGATCTACTTATGACTAGAATGTCCTGAAAAATTTCAGCTAAAAGAATACTTTATTTACGAGATATTCAATTTCCAAAAGTCTAAAATTCTCGCATCTTTCACGAGATATGAGTGATTTTTGGAAATTTAATATTGTGCATTCTCAAGAAGAAAAGCTAAAAAAAATAAACAGTAAATCCTAAGTAATAATCATACATTCGCATTGTTTTCCATAATACAATTGACTACATGAACAGACATAAGTATTTGTGAATTGAGAAACACTGCATGCACCACCATTCATACATGGACTCGATATACATGGTGATGGTGTTACCATCGTAGCTATAGATAAGAAAATTTGAATAGATGATTTTTAAAAAAAACGAATATATAGAAACTTAAACTATAACCTGGTCTCATTGTTGTTGTTGTTGTTCCTATTGTCAGTTCATCACATCGTTTACCACCCACCGGAAGATTAGGTGGACATATGCAATAAAAATCCATATTGCCATTGATTGCTAAGCATTGGCCATTGTTAAAACATGGATTCGGATTGCAAACTAAATATAAATCATCTCATCATTCGATTTATAAAAGTTCGGTTTTATATCGAGTATATGAAATCTTCAAAATGATTATAATGGTTGTCGAAAATGGTGTTTTACTGCACTAATTTTAACTGTAATCTATCAAACCGTTTTTTGCTATTATTTTCATTGTTTTATATCGTTTATGGTTCCGTTTTCTTCGCCTTGGGTCGAGAGGATTTCAGGAGGAATAGAGGTCGATGACTCAAGAATAGAGACGTCTGAGATCAAGTTTTTTTAGTTCTAATTCTACTTCAGTTAACGTAACTTTTTTTCATCGATCTCGATGTGACGAAAACTATTTCAGAATTTGTTTGTATCAAATCGGAAAAAAAATTCTTCAATACTCACTTTTTAATTTATTTAATCGACGATTAGCATTCTCTTGATCTATGTTCTCATCGATATGATTTATAAGATAATTTGCTTGAAATCATAGAATATTTAACTATAATATTTAGTTCTGGGTAGGACCACTTGTTTGTCACAGTTCTGGTCCCTATCTCAACAATATCTCTTTTCTGTAGTCCCGGTTTCGAACATCTCTACTCAAGAGGTCAACTGAAAGATTTTTTCTAGAATGAGCCAGCTTTTTTGAGAATTGATGAGCAAAACAAACAATAAAACGCTTTTCAAAATTGATTAGTCCTCCCAGTCCGGTCTCGTTTGGAACGTTCCTACGAATACATTTATCAAAAGTTCAGTTTCTTGTACAATAGTTCTTTGTTCATGACTTACTACTTATTTGTCCAAAAATGGCAGATATTATTAGTAAGCCAAGAAAAAGAAGAAAAACAAGTCTACACTGCATGTTAACGTATAATTAAATATTACTTTTTACTCAAACGCTTGTATTGATGTACTCTTTTGAAAAGAAAAATAAGAATAACTGTGTATATCATCAAAAGTATATTTCAAAAAAAGAAATTGCAAATTTATATAAATATTTAATCCATGATATATCAAATTTCCAAAATTGTAAAAACTCAATTATCTCCATTGTATATAATGATATTTAATCAGATATTAGCACAAATAAATATTTTTGTTCTAATGAAAGCACAAATGAATTGACCTTACCTGATAAAGCATATTAAAAAATATTAATAAAAACATCAAATGAAATCTTATATATTTTCAGTATCTTACTTCTTAATAAATATTGTCGTGAGAAAGAGTAGGCGATAAAACACAACTTGATATACACAGTATTATTTATTTCAAAGACAAAAAAAAACCAAACAGATTTAAATTCAAATTATTACTTTCTTTACTATACTTGTTCATAAGCATATAGATTTTATTGAAGTCTTCTTCATAATGACAAACAAAAATCATATTATAATAATTAATCAAAATTTGTTTTCTATTTTTTTTTATTTCTATATAATATTTTTATAAAGTCTATAAATAATTGCTTTATCGTTTTTCTTTTTTGCTGTGCCTTTCAAAACGAATATCTCCATAGTTAACAAAGTACTAGATATAATCAACCAAAAAAAAAAATGAATGAATAGCAATCAACAACAACCTTCGACATGCTTTCTCATCGCTTTCGTCATTGTCTAGCTCATTTTCTCCTTTTTCCACTTGCCGCAGTATATATGTGTGTGTATGTGCGGCACTCGCATATTAGAGATGTCTATCTATTTGTGTGCCCCGTATATATGTGTGCACAAGGGGTGTCGACACGTCGTCAGAGGGATGATCGATCGATGTATTGCTCACCACCGTGTGAGTACTGTTCACTTCAGTGATTATAGTTAGTGTGCGCAATGGGTTTACTCGTATATGTATGCGCTTCTTGTTCTTGTTCTTGTTCTTCTTATTCTCTTTGAATCTCAAGAGACTCACAAATATGTGCATAGTTAAAAAAAAAAAAGAAAGAAAAACGACGAAGTCAAGCAATTTGATCGTGATTTTTTTTCTCTATGGTCACAAATCACTGACTGTCCTGATGATAGGAGAGAAGAAGAAGACGAATCGGCTATTTTGCCGACAGGATATGAAAATTAAAATAAAAACATCAGAGAATGACAATATTTAATGCCGGTACTTGTTTTATTTTTATCGATTAAAAAACAAAAAAAAAATTCCCTTACGAGTAGAAATGCATGTCAATGCATATATAAAATATACTCAATTTAGTTTGAAAAAACAGAATTATCTATCCTGTTAATATACTGTCAAAGAAACAACATCGTATCATTCGTCACATTATATCATTTGCAAGGAAAATATGCTAATGACTTGTGTAAAGTATTTCGATATTATTTCCTCTATTGAAATACACTTCTGAGAAAATAATTTCTTTATTAGTCAATATTCTCTTCTATTAACACATTTTTATTATCCATCCATCGTCTTTACATCTATGCGTGATATTATCTCTTTTTTTTTCTTTTTTTTTTGTTAAATATGGCACATAAGTACTTGAGAAAAAGGAAACGAGCTTGATGACAAAAAAAGGAAAGAAAAAAATCCGAATTTCTCTTCCTTTATCTTGACTCCTACATGTATATATAAATATATATATATATACAAATGATTTCATTCGTTGTTGATCATAAGCATTTTGGATCAATAGGAATTTTTGTCTTTCGGTAATCGAGAATGTTGACCAACACAACATCAAGAAGCGAGCAAAATGAGAAAAGAGAAAAAGAAAAGAAAGAAAAGAAAAGAAAAACCCTTACATCGATAGGCTAACGGAGAGAGAAGAAGTACACCATAACCCTTATATGATCAATATCCTATTTCACAACAAATGCAAGAAGAATCTATCATTCTTATTTTTTCTTTTTTTGTTTGTCTGAAATAAAAAAAAGGACAAAAAAAAGAACAAAACATTTTTCTTCCTTAATATTTAGATTGATGAGTTCATTGAATTAAATCCGACAGATCTTCTGAAAAAAAAAAAACACTTCGACATTTAGTCAATTCGTTACCATTTTTCAAAAAAAGACACATACACACAGAACGAACAAAATCGAAAAAAAAGAAGAACAAGAAGAAGAAGAAGAAGAAGAACATACAGAAAAAAAACACATCAATCTCCATCATCATCTATCATGATGAATCGATACCAACACCAACACCTACAAACACATAATTCGAATACAATTCTTCAATCAAACCATCACTTTCACTTAACTAGTAGTACAACAACAACAACATCTGTTCTACAACCACCAATTGATACTTATACATCGAATAACAATTCAATTATTGATATACATCAACAAAATCATTATAATTTACTTGATGATAATTATATTTATAATCCACCACCATCCTACTGTACTAAACATCATCATCCAATATATCGTTCACCAACTATTTGTACATTAGATACTCAACCATCATCAGTTTATGAAACATATACATCACCATCACCTTCATCAGCAACAACAACAACAACAACAACAACAGCAGCACCAAATATTCCAGTAAATACTTATGAACAATTTTGTATTGATAATTCTCAAACATCACCACCATCATCATCATCATGGATAACAACAACAGCAGGAACTAATGAAGGAACAATATATCATCCAATTCAATCATTTGAACAATGTAATGTTTATTTAAATAATTCACAATTATCTGAACAAAATAATTATCGAGATTATTCATCAATACCATTATCTAATAATGAAACATCATCTTCATCAACATCATCATCATCATCATTTAATAATCCATCTCAATGTCAACAACAACAACAACAACAACAACAACAATATCGACATCTTGAACAATCATCTATAGATGAAAAACCTCTTTCTATTGTTACTAGTGAAGCAAAATATAAATGGATGCAAATAAAACGTACACCAGCTAAAACAGCAGGTAAATTTGAACATATGTTTTTCTTTTTTTTTATTTTTAATCTTGATAAAAATCTTTTCTTTCATATAAATAGAAAATAATATTAGTGTATGTATCGTCCTGAAATGTATTCCATCAGATAGAAAGATAAATATTATTTTGCACATATACACACACACACATACACAGGTGTCCAACAAACAGATGATGAAAAATTTTTTTCTCTGCCTTTTTTTTCCTATTTGTTTAATTCATTAGTTATACTATCTACCAATTGTTGAACATCATGTCACGATAGATGATCGATATAGTTCCATATAAAAAGAGAATCAATCATTTTCTTGATTAAAATTATGCCATTTATAGTTAAAAAAAAAGAAAGAAAGATCAAAATATCATCTATCATCACTTCTTCGCTTTTTCTTTTTTTTTTTTTTTGCAATGATGCTGTAATATATAATGATAAGAAATAAATATACATATGTTTATTTGAAGGTAAACCGACTGATTATAATTATAATAATGGTACATCACTAGTGAATGGATCATCATCGAATTCATTGATAAATAATAATGCTGGTCGAACGAATTTTACAAATAAACAATTAACAGTAAGATAAATAAGAAAAGTAAAATAAGTGAAAAAAGAAAATTGTTTGATGTTTTAGGAATTGGAAAAAGAATTTCATTTTAGTCGTTATTTAACACGAGCAAGACGTATTGAAATAGCAGCATCACTTCAATTAAATGAAACACAAGTGAAAGTAAAATTATTATTTTTTTGCTTTTGTATTTCATATGAAAAAAAAAATATATATTTAGATTTGGTTTCAAAATCGTCGTATGAAAGCAAAAAAACGACAGCGTGAACGTAAGTATTTTAAAATAATTTTTTAAATCTATATGCTTTTGTTTTTCGTAGCTGATATTCTTACATTTGATTCCATGTGAATTTCTTCATGTACAAAAGACAGTATTTTATCTTGATTGATATGTTGTCTTAAAATTTTCTTTTCATTTCTTTTTTTTTTCTGTTTTCATTGTCATTATTATTATTATTGTTGTTGTTGTTGTTGTTGTTGCTGTTGTTGCTTTCTTTCAATGGTTGTATTTAAAAATATATCAAGACAAAAAAAAAAAAGATATTCGTTTCGCATCAATAGATATTCAATTTTTTTGTGTATATAAAGTGTCGTGTTTTATTGATTGATTCTTAAATGCCTTGAGGAAAGATTAACAAGGTATAAGAGAGAGGTGGTAGATCACTCAATTTTAACAAAAACAAAAGTGATAAGATTCAATACAGATATGCTACTTATAGGAAATAGAGTTTTTCTTTTCCCCTATGTAAAACAGTCGGAAAGTTATTGCACGACATCACAATGATGATTCAAGCGAATATTCTCATTCACTCATCAAACAAAAAAAACAATAACAATGACAAAGTTAATTCGATTACGTTTTGTTTTTTTTTTATATGTCGGCAATGCATGCTTGTTTTAGTTGACCACCTTTTTCTTATATCTTTAGGGAGAGATCGATTAAACTTATTGTGATTTTTTTTAATATGTAAATTAAGAAAGAAGAGAAACCCGCTGAGGGAATGCATGCAAAAGCAACAATGTGTGAAATTGAGTGAATCGGATAGACAAGCGAAGCAAAAGGGAGGAGAGACGAATAAAAAAAAGAAGAAGAAGAAAAGAAGATCAAACAACATATATAGACAAGTCAACAAAATAAAAGGAAGTCAAGAGTCATCTTTAAATCATTCAGTTAAGATGAATATTATCAGACATACTAAGACGGATATGCTCTACTTCCGGATAACATAACATCAGTCAATTGAAGACAAAAAACAATTTGTTTTTCTCATGATGAGAAGATTTTTTGTTTTTATATTGAAAGAAAAATATTCATTAAACAAATTGATTATTTCAAACAATAATAAATATATTATTGATACTTCTAATGACTTTT